GAGGAAATGAATTGACTGTGCATGCTCTATATGCTAATTTAAAATATCTGTAACATGTAACTGCAAACCAAGTTCTTTTCGACATGAGTGAGCATTAATCTTCATTCACATTCAGTGGCTCTAAGTACCAAGCTATTAAATTAAGCTATTTTTCAGTTTTCCAAGCTCAAAAACATTATAATATGATTTTTTGTCAGAAGATACATCATAATTTTATTTTCAAAGAGCCTCTTATTTCAACTTCTCCTTCAGATACTTTCCACCCCACTTTCTGATGCAACTGGTTTATCATATTTTAGCTTTTGATTATCTGGAAAACCACATTCAGGATCTGTGTCTGTTTCCCCCCCATACCTGTGAGAGGCAGACAGTGTGAATTACACAAGGTTAGATACAAAACTCTTTTCTGCTAAGTAAGACTGCTTCTGTTTCTGAGCATGAAGCAAAGAGATTTCATTTTCTCATTTTGCTCAGAAAATTGAAAAAGTCAACGGATAAAAAAGTGTGAAATAAGAATTAACAGCCAAAGAGTGGGACCTGTCTACTTTTTATCACAAGAACTTTCATTTGTTCTTTGTATTTGCTGCACTGCAAATTGTCATTATGTACAATATATGCATTTATTTTAGAATCTTTTTCATTCTTTACCTCAAGAAATAGAGAGTTAAGAATGCTCAGTTATTAGGGAATCAGCTTTGGTGTGTGAGAGTAACATAAATTGAAATCTGTAGTTCAGATGCTGAGGTGAAGTTCTGAAGTATGCTATGGTGTGGCTGCCGTAAAAGAGCTGATGTGTAAAGCTCAACATCCAAAAAGGTCAATTTTAGTTAGGACGATACTAATGCTTTTAAAAATAGTGTGGTGAAAGATCACCTTAAAAGCTAAGAAAAAAATGCTGCATTCTGGCTCATCTAGATAAATTAAATCCAGCTACAAGGTATGGATGAGAAATCTGGTACAGTACCACAGGTCTTGCATAGTAACATGAAAGGCATGTTGAAATCAAAATGACCTCAGCTCACATTTGTGCAGAAATAGCAAAGACAGGTTGAAGGTTGCTAGTGCCATCTGGCTTTTTGCTGCACAGGACTGTCCAGAATTTTTAATGGATAAAGCAATCACCTCATACAAATGTCAGAAATTGCTAATATTTAATGAAAAGTCATAATAGAGCAGGTAATATTTTTATGGCACGAGGAAATGCCCTTGTTCTACATTTACATTGATTTGACATTGACAGCATCATAACCTTGGTTTTGTCATAGTATTTGGCAGTTAGTAAATGAGGTTGAGCATCACCTCCAAAATGTCGGAACAGCTCTCCCCAATCCACTTTTATTTCCAAGGTTTCAAATTTAATGGTAATATACCAGACCAGAGGTTCCAAACTCAGGGCTCCAGAGCACTTGCTAATGGTCCACGCAGAGACAGCAGATAATGCACTTCTGGCTGTCATCTTTGCTCTAACTACTAAACTACATTAAAAGAAGCTAAATGTGTACTGAATAATTTTCCATGTAAGCAATGGTAGTACTTGCCACAGCGATCTTATGTAAGTGCAAATGAGATGAGAGGAAGGATGATGCAGTGGTTAGGGCCGTGACATGGGAGACCTAAGTTCAATTCCCTGGTCCACCACAGCCTGGTTGAGTGACCTTAGACAAGTCACTTTGTTCTCTGTGCCTCAGTTTCCCCTGGGGATAACAGCACTTTCCTACCTCAGAAGGGTGTTGTGAGGTTATGCACTTCAAAGACTGTGAGGTGCCCTCAGATACTCCTATGGTAATGGTTGCCATATGAATATCATAGATAACAGGTAGTCTGTGTTTTCATGAATGGGAGGGGAAGTGTCCGTGAGACAATCTCTCTATGAAAAAGGTCTGAGAACCCTTTCCTAGATGATCCTCCTCACTGAGGCACCAGGGGGTTATAACAGCACTCCATGCCAAGGCTTTATTTTAGTCCATCTTGCTGGCAAATATCAGTATGTGCCTATCATCTGAACTTTAGCAAACCTCTCGTGTAGTCAGGAGGGAGCATGGTGGCTTTAATGCTTTAACTTCATCAAAGTACGTTTTGGTTTTTTTTAAAATCTAAAATACTGCAAATATCAGGTCAAAATCATAGTCAGTAATCCAGCACAGCAAACACAGCACCAGTTACCTGCATGGCACTCTTATGTGTATTGCATGTCAGATAATTTGATGGAGTAATGATGACACATCAATCATTGCACAGGTTAAATTCTTTAGCCCCCCCGCCTCTGTATGTACGTCAATTTCTTGATGCACTGTACATGTGAAAGAGTAAATCCAACACTATTATGCACCAGCTTGTAGTTTTCTAAGCTGTGGCATCTGAGCCACTTATCATTCACTCCCATGTGCCACAGTTGGCCTTAGAACCTCTGCATCTTCATTTTTGGGCCCCGATCCAGATCTTGGCAAGTGGGACTGGCTTGCCAAGGTCACTACAGCTGTTGCCAATGGAACCCTAAAGGAATAAGAAGGAAGGCGCTCTGAACTGTCCCTCCCTGCTTTCTGTGGATTAAACAATATTTCTGATGCTTTCAAGTTATTCATTTGACTGAGACTGTGACTAAACTGTATCTGGCAGCTGGTTCACTTAGCTTAGCCAGTGCCGCACAGTTGTGCTCAGTTTTTAAAAGGGCCTCCACGGTCAAAATAAAAGACAAACCCAACAGAAAAATATGACATACCGTTTGAGACGGGCCCAGACCAAAACCTGGCACCCCCAAAGTTGTGGGAAGTTTGGATCCCCATTCCTTCTGCAGCTTGGGCCTACCCTCAGTAAGGAATACAACAAGGAATTAAAATGAATAGCAGTACAAGAATTTTTCCATTCTACCCCTAATTGATATTAATGTTAAGAGACTGAGTCATTCAAATACTAATTAAGGGAAACTCGTATTGACTTTCATGGGCGATAGATAAGACGATGTTTTAGTCACGGGTATTTTTAGTAAAAGTCATGGACTGGTCACGGGCAGTAAACAAAAATTCATGGCCCGTGACCTGTCCGTGACTTTTACCATATACCCCTGACTAAAACTTGGGGGGGGGGGGGCAGCCCGGGGGGCGCCATGGGCGATGGGGGCCATGGCCTGGAGGGGGGACGTGGGTGGTCGGGAGCACTGGGAACAGCCGGGGGGAGCATGGGTTCTCGGGGGGCATGTGGCCCAAGGGGCACTGCGGGTGTTGCAGGGGGGGGATGGCAGGGCTGGAGCAAACTCCCTACCTGGGTCCTGGGAAGCGGCGACCTCCAGCTCCTAGCTCCACGTGCTGCCTCTGCTCCGCCCCAAGCCCCAGTTCTGCAGCTCCCATTGGCTGGGAACCGCGGCCAATGGGAGCTGCGGGGGCAGTGCATGCAGGTGGAGGCAGTGCATGGAGCTAGGAGCTGAGGGAGGGGAGTTCATGTGGCCTTTCCGGGGAGCCCCCCCAGGTAAGCACCACCCTGCACCCAACCCCCAGCCCTGAGCCCCCCCCCACACCCAAACTCCTGCTGCTGGGGGGCCGGAGGGTCCCGAGATTACCCCAGCAGTGGCTGGTGCAACTGGCCCGGGGGCTGCCCGAGCTGCTCAGTTGGCTCCCAGGCCATCTGCATGGGCAGCTGCAGAAGTCATGGAGGTCACGGAAAGTCACGGAATCCGTGTCTTCTGTGACCGCTGTGACAAACACAGAGCCTTAGCAACAGATCAGGCTCCAATTCATCTACTGAGTAATGCTGTTCGTGCTTAAGAAATAACAACAATAATGTATTGGAAAAAAATGAACTCCCCCTTTGCAAATGTACCGGAGCTTTGCTGGGTGCCTATGACTGAAGGAATGTAAATAATCTAGTCCAAAACTTCATGTTAACAAAGCAAAAAGATTACTTTTTCCTTGGCCATCACCTGCTGCTGCTGTTTATGTTTTGTGTTCGAGGAATACCTAAGGGCCCCAGTCAGGAGCAGGGCCACACAGGGCTAGACGCTGTACATACACAAAGTAAAAGATGGTCCCAGCCCAGAAGAGCTAACAGTCAAAGTAATGCATTATTTTACTCCGTTTTTTTCATCTTGCAGGACAGTAGGTTTTGCTATGGTTCCAAACTCTGCTTTCAGTTACACAGGCTCCAGGCCACTGACATCTTTGTGGTTACACATGTATGGAACTGAGTGTATGTATATATATATATGTAATGTTTATGTTCACACGTGTATGTATATGTGTGTTTACAATTAAGAGCAAAGTTTAGTCCAAACTCATTCACTTTTGGTTTACTACACTGTATTCCAGTGCTACTTTTAAAACATATATTATCATTATTTATTGTGTATATTGTGGTAGCACTTAGGAGCCCAAGGCATGGGCCAGGACCCCATTGAGTTAGGCTGTGATGGGGCATCTGCCACACACTAGCCCATAAAGGGTTAATTGGACCCTAGGGAGGCTGTGCAACAGGCAGCCAATTGGAGAAGACCCTAGGGAGGCTGTGCAGGAGACAGCCAATTGGAGAGGGGCTGCGAGGAGCAGCCAATCAGGGCTAGTCAGGCCCATATAAGAAGAGCCTCAAGCCAGAGCAAGTGAGTCACTCCCTGGAGCTCAAGGAGGGAGGAGGACTGGCTGCTTTGCAGGTGGAGGGCAGCTAGCACTTTGGACAGAGCAGTGCTAGGCAGGATCAAGGGAGTGAGAGCGAGCTCCTGGCTGGAGCCCTGAGACAAGGGCAGAGAAGGTGCTGGGGCTGTGGGAAAGTGGTCCAGGGAAATAGACTGTGGAGTTGGAGGGGATGCAGTGCATACCTGCCATCTACAGGGACCCTGGGCCAGGACCTGGAGTAGTGGGTGAGCCCGGGTCCCCCCTCCTGCCCTCACTCGACACCGAGGAAGTGGCTGGAGAGTGAACTACGGTTCCCCTGGAAGGGGAAAGAACAGAGTGTGACACAGCCAGAGGGCTGTGTCCTGAAGAGGACACTGTGTTCTTTGGGACAGCTTGCTTCCTGGAGCAGAAGTGAGGCCGGCGAGACATCACCAGATGAGGGTGCACTGGCAAACTAAGCTAATTCCCAGGACAGCCAGCTGGAGATGCCACAGCGGTGAGTCGAACCCCGTCGCATAGGCGCTGTAAGAACACAGAGCGAAAAGATTGTCCCTGCTCCAAAGAGTTTACAACCTAAGTATAACACAAGAGACAACAGGAGGATACAGACAGAGACAGGGAAGCACAAGGAAACAATGAGACCAACCCACTAATGTCAACAGGCCTGATTCTCTGTTGCCCTGTGCCTTGAAGTGGTCATCCATACCTAGGCAAAGTGAGTGTAAAATGCTGTCTCTCTGATTTGGCAGCTGCACCCTCACCCCTTGCACTGGTGTAAATGACTATTCTGCATGCAGGGAATCTGCCCCTGTGGGTGTAACAGATGGAGGTAGCTGAATAAGGGTATGTTTACACTACACGCACTGCAGCAGCTATGCTGCCATAGCACCATGGCATGGACACCTACTACAGCAACAGAAGAGGTTTTTCCATTGCTGTAGTAAATCCACCACCTTCACAGGTGGTAGCTAGGCTGATGGAAGAATTCTTCTCTTGACCACCTGCATCTACACTGGAGATTAGGTCAACCTAAGTACATTGCACAAGCATGAAACTTTTCACAGCCCAAAGCAATGTAGCTAAGTCAATCTAAAGTTTAGGTGTGCAACAAGCCTTAGATTGCCTGCTATAACGTGCTCCTCCAGAGCATTCACAAATTGTGATATATAGTTTATTGGAAGCAAGGAGAGAATAGAATTTTTAAAATAATATTTGGAACTGAGCACTAAGCATAACAGAGATGCTTTTTGCCTTCCCCATACAATTGAGGACACGAGGTGCCTTTTGGGTGTCTTGATTTTGCTTTCATTAACATGTTAGATCGATTTCCCAACTGACTCAATTAAAAAGGAAAGCGATGGGAGGTTACAGTGAAATGAAAGTGCTCAAAAGCATATAGCAAACAGGTCATCATCTTTCCATTGCAAAATCAATATTGCATGCCCACTATCACTCTGTATACAATAATAAAAAGCCTTCTGTCATTATTGCCATGGAGTACATTGATTCCTTTTAAATATTTCCTGGGAACATTTTCAGCATTATGCATGTGAATCTATAATCATTGACCAGATACATGGAAAATCTCCAAGTCCCCTAGTTCTCTGAATGAGCTTTTCAGCTATCTCACTGAGATTGACACTTAGATCTGTAATGCTAGTGTGCAAAAGAAGAGGGTTGTCATTTTTATTATATTGACTTTTTGGCTATTAGCACACCATAAAGTAACCATCTCACCTGCTCACTGTTTTTCTGCTTCTTCCTTTCATCATTTTTCCTTAGAATAAATAGATGCAGTCTATGGGGGAGGCAGAGAACCAAGACTGGGTAATTTCTGCTTTATGTACCATCTCAAACGGAACTGAGAGCAGGGTCAGAATCACAGTAACTTCATTCACTAGGGCTGCAAAGATACAGGATCATGGAAGAATGCCTGGAGCAAATGATGTTTCTGTGTCCCTTTCATCTGTGACCTGCTATAGGAGGAAGCTTGCAAACAGTATCATTTGTTGTGTTAGTCGAAGAGATGAGCCATATCCAAAGCTCAGATCTGAATGCCACTAACAATGGGAATTTGGATCAGGTTCCAAACTTCACAGCTGGCCTTTTAACAGCCAGCACAAAATAACCCAGATCTGAATGTCCTTGAACTTTGTGAAAGATCCAGATTCAGATACAAGCTTTGTAGCTCAGGCCCCTCTCTAGTTAGCAGCCTTAGACATAGGTCCCTCTTTGGATGCCTTTATACTTACTGGTGCCTGTATGTCCTTAGTCCATGGTCCTCAAGTCCATGTGGAGCCACAGGGTCACCTCCTCTCTGCCAGTGAGGACAGCAATTTGCTTGGCAGCTCCCTAGGGACACAAAGTGCCTTATCCCTGCCCCATTGAAATCAAGGGGAGTTTTTCGATTGATTTCAGTGGGCTTTGCATCAGGCCTACAGTGAGGAGAGGCTCTTTGCATGATCCCTGGCTGTATCCATCTGGGGGCTGGGCACAAACTAGCCCACTGTTAGTAGCAAGTCTCTTTTCCATAAAACCCACGAGTCTTGAAAAAGCCTGGATCCAAGCCTGACAGCACAAGTCTGTTCCAGTCATTAGTGGTCAGGGAAATAAGGGGAGTGGGATAGGGATAGAGTTACTCTCCCCAGTGGAAGGATTACAGAGCAAGAGAAACTCCTCATTTAGGGCCTGATTCTTTGTAAGATATTGAGCAACCTCAATATCCATTGGAGTCAATGGAAGACGAGATGCATCCTCAGAACCGGGAGCGATATCAAAAAATGTTTCTATCCCAACTTGGGATGAAAAGTCAAAATCTCAAAAATGTTTGCAAAGAAAAGGTTTTGTTTGGATCATCTCATTTGATGAAACCTTTCATTTCAATTTCAACCACTTTTTTTTTTTTTTTTACAATAACTAGCTTAATCTTTTCAAAGAAACATTGTTTTGAACTGCAAAACTGGAATTTTTCATTTCAAAGATGCCAAAACAAACGGTTTAGGCCATGTTAGAAACCTTTTTCCAAATGTTTACGTAGAAAAAGTCATTGAAATCAACACTTTCCCCACAAAAAGTTTTGATAAATCAGCATTTTCTGGTGGGGGAAAAAAAAATTTTGTCAACAAATTGCCAACCAGCTCAAGTACTCAGCACCTTGCAGGATGAACTCTGCAGCTGGTATGTAAATCAAGGGTCACCTTTTCACAGCAAGCTTCATAGAAATTAAATGACCACCCATCCGTGCTACACTGCCTCATTTCATAGATTTGCCGGACTAAATTCAGAGGTGATGTATAGGGAGTGCTATGTAAACCATATGTTAGTCAGTGGGTGAGAGAAGAAGAAGAAATTGTAAGTGTCTAAGGGACTGAACACTGGATTGGAAGAAAAGGTGAGCTACACCAAATTAGGCCCCACTCCTGGATTGAGCTCTGTGCAAGTATGCTCTTTAGAATTACTTAGACTTACACCGTTCCTCATCACCTCTGAATTAGGCCCTAAGAAAGGACCTATTGGGATCTACAGTACTTGAATTTAGAGGGTCCTGTGCAGGCATATGGGTCCACAAGCATGGAGAACATTGCAGGAACAGAGCCATTGACTCCCCAGACTTTCTTAAACTCACTTACATCCTCTCTAATATTGGCCAAATTCTACCACCCTGAGTAGTACCATACTTCACAAGTAGGTCCGTTGACATCAATGGAACTACTCATGGAGTAAATGAAGTGAGTAATGGTAACCCAATCTAGCCCACTGTCATTACAAATGGAGAAGACCTGTCAGATTACCCAGCATACCTCTCTGCTAATGCAGGATTCTTCCCTTCCGTGCCAAACCTCAAGCTTTGTTTTCCTGGGGACATTTTAAAATTATATACACTTTTGGCCAATTCTTAAGTGCTGAACAGCTGCCATTTGGAAAAGCAAACTTCATCAGAGGTGTTATACTACAAATAATAATAATAATTAATAATGGAGGCAGAAGCGTTCAGTTCTCAGGGTAATATACTGCCTGTGTATCACTATACACAAGCCATTTTCTGTGGAAGAGACTTCGGATGGTCTCTAGTTCCTACAGAAGTTCCACATCCTAAGAACACCACCACCACCCCACCAGGCACTGATGGACCAGGGACGCCTTTGTTGTCTGTCATAGCAGAGAGGCGCTCAGGAGGTAAATGAGCCTCCTGCCCCTGGAGATGGTTTTCTTGGTGAAAACTGAAACCTGAAAACAAAACTCTACCAAAACAAAACCCTCCACTGCCCACACAATTCTCCCCTGGGGAGGAGATCAGAGAGAAAACAAACCACAAGTGACAGATGTTAGTCACGTCACTTAACACACTACTGGAAGGTACTCAGATAATACAGAGATCAAGGTGATATAAAAACCTTAATGAAACAGAATACAGGCACATTGGCAGGATAGTGTATAGAAGGCTGGTACTGCTGTTGCCTATGCTGTGGCTGTTCTGTGGCTAAAGAGAGGACTTCAGTCTACAAGACCATCAATTTGCCAGCAGTTTCAACATTAATGACCCAATCCTATGAGGTACTGAGCATCCTCCACTCCAGCTGAAGCTCAGCACCTCATAGGATCTGGTGCTAAATTCCCTTGACTAATCTGTAATTGCATTGCAGCGAAATTGCAATGAATCTAATTTTTAAGGAGAATACATTGCCAGCTGAAGAACTGGGAACTCTGCGGAAGTTGGCAGGGTCTGTCCAGCTTTATTTTATACACTAATTAAACTAATACTGGTCCTGGAATACTGTTGTTTTTATTCATTCATAAAAAAGTCATTTTGTCTAGACTTGAGCTGCTGCAGTTTCATTCTCAAAAATACAGAGTCGATGCACAGTTTGCTTGTCAAAAACAGCTGCCCTCTTCTGTTTCCAAAGGGATATTGCCAGTTTTTGAAACTATAGCATTTGTGGCATTGAAATAGAAATAAGATACCAGCACTTCGCCCACTCCACTAAAGCTAATCCATGTCAATATAACACCATCACCTCTTAACACCTCCTTTGATTTTGGAGCCTCAATATGGAGTTGGGGGTAAAATTTAAAAAAATATCTAAGTCATTTATGACCCTAAGTCTCACTGAAAGTCAATGAGACTTTGGCTCCTAAGTGATTTAGGCATTTTTGAAAATGTAGGCTTTTAAGTTACTTCGGTCCTTTTACTTTACCCTAGAAGCCTAATTTTAAGCACCTAGGTTTGAAAATTTTGATCTGTGTCTTTTACAAGTTTGAGACTGTCAGTGCTTAATGAATCCTACATAATGATAATTAGAAAGCAGAATCCAGAAATGTTTTACAGGTGTGCAAGAGAACAATTGGAGTCCACATGAGCTGCCATGTTTCTGTTGGCTAGAAACACCTGCGAATAGACAAAAGATTGTACACTATTGCAATTAATATTCTACAGTGTGCCATAGAATTCATCAATTCCAGGTCAGAAGGGACTATTGTGATCATCTAGTTCAGTGGTTCTCAAAGCTGGTCCGCCGCTTGTTCAGGGAAAGCCCCAGGCGTGCCGGTTCGCCACTCCAGGCCAATGGGGGCTGCGGGAAGCGGCGTGGGCCAAGGGATGTGCTGGCCGCCCTTATCGCATCCCCCATTGGCCTGGAGCGGCGAACCACGGACAGTGGGAGCCACGATCAGCCGAACCTGAGGACGCGGCAGGTGAACAAACCGGTCCGGCCCGCCGGGGGCTTTTCCTGAACAAGCAGTGGACCGGCTTTGAGAATCACTGATCTAGTTTGACCTCCTGTGTATCACAGACCACAGAACTTCCCCAGTGAGAAAGAGCAACTTGATAGCAGGCAGAGCAATGTGCTGGCTTTTTTAACAGGTTATACGTAAGGCTCTGTGTTTGTCACGGAGATCACAGATTTTGTGACTTTCCGTGACTTCTGCAGCGGCTGGTGTGCCTGGCCTGGGAGCCACCTGAGCAGCTCAGGCAGCCCCTGGGCCATTCACACCGGCTGCTGTGGGGCAGTCTCCCCCCCTGCCCCGCCCCGCCAGCAGCAGGAGTTGGGGGGGGGTTAAGGCTGGGGTTTGGGAGATGGGGTGGTGCTTAGCTGGGGGGGGGACCCCAGAAGGGCAACAGGAACTCCCCTCCCTCCGCTCCTAGCTCCACATGCTGCCTCTGCCCTCAGGCACCCGCCCCGCAGCTCCCCAGCCCATGCCCCCCCGAGCACCTGTGGCACCCCCCCAGGCCCTTTCTCCCTGAGCTGCCCCACCCCCCAAGTTTTAGTCAGGGGTATATATTACAAGTCCTGAACAGGTCACGGGCAGTAAACAAAAATTCATGGCCCGTGACCTGTCCATGACTTTTACTAAAAATGCCCGTGACTAAAACATAGCCTTAGTTATAGGACCTGATCACAGACCATTTGAGTCAATTGAAAGATTTCCCTGGGCTTCAATATGTTTTGGATCAGGCCATATTTTATTTTTAAACTGTTTTTATTGAAACTATTACAAGAATGTATGTGTGTGTAATGTTCTGTTTTCAATAACATCTTTAAATCTAGGTGCGGGCGGCACTAGATAATGTCAGCTTGATACAAATGATATGTTAGGGGTGAGTCTATATTTTTTTTATTTTGAAATAATTAATTGTTGATTCCCATTTCTTTTCAGAGTGGCCTAAGTTCTGTGCTGTTCTTGAACTCTCACTCCTTGGAACCTTTCCTACCAGGAATGCTGCTTTGTTAAAAAGCTCCAGGTGATTGATTTGTGATCCTTCAAGGTGATGGTCAAATTGCTTCCCTCTCATAAAATCTATTTTAAAAAAATCAGCTTTACCAAGTAAATGTCTTTATAAGCAGTGTCAAGCATCCCTTCTCTTAACCCGAATCCTTGCACCAATAAGATTAACACTGATATTGCACCTTATGTATTCAAATTGCTGTAAATATTAACTAATCTATCTATCTGCCCATCACTCTCATTTTAGATAGGCAAGATTATTTCCATTGTACTGTCAGATAAACTGAGGCAAAGTAAAATTATTTGGCCAAGGTCAGCAAGAGACAGGGCTAGAAACAGACACTCATAGCTATTGTTCTTGCATTCATTTGTCTTGTGCAATTCACTTTCCTCCAGCTTGTAACCAGGATCAGTAATTTACTTTCACTGTCAAACACAGGTTTTATTAATGCCATAGATGGAATGATGATCATTAATGTTTTGGGGGCAGGGGACTGAGGGCCAAGTTCTATTAGCAAATTAAATTCTCAGCAAGGTTATGTCTCTTTCTGTGAGCGACATTCATTCAAACTGAAACCAAATTCTGCCAGTGTTCTCCATCCCCACTGCTGAAGGTGAACTGAGAAGGTTTTGAAAAATATTAAAAACTTGCTTGCAAGATCCCATAAGAGGATACGGGAAAGTATGTGTGTTTGAACATATTAGGTCCTCTGCAGCCTAAAGTTGACACGGCCTCTGCTACTTACATGCACTACAGTTCTTCTCTTGTACCCAAAGTCTCAGCTTCTCTATGGTTTGTTCCTTTCCTGCTGAGTTGTTTAAAAATCTGGCCATAGGTGTCCCAATGGGAGCTGCTGGGAGCTGAACTCTTTTGAACTCCTGACCCCAATAGGGTTGCCAACTTTATACTCGCACAAAACTGAATACCCTTGCTCCGCCTCTTCTCCAAGGCCCTGCCCCTGCTCACCCCATCCCTCCTCCCTCTGTCACTCACACTCCCCATCCTCACTCGCTTATTTTCACCAGACTGGCTCTGGGGGTTGGGATGCAGGAGGGGGTGAGGGCTCTGGCTGGGGGTGCAGACTCCGGGCTGGGGATGAGGGGTTTAGGGTACAGAAGGGGGCTCCGGGCTGAGGTAGGGGGTTGCGGTGCGGGGATGTGAGGGCTCGAGCTGCGGGTGTGGGCTCTGGGTGAGGCTGGGGATGAAGGGTTTGGGGTGTAGGAGGCTGGGTGTGGGCTGGGTTCAAGAGGTTTGTAGAGCGGGAGGGGGATCAGGGCTGGGCCAAGGAGTTGGGGTGCAGGCTCTGTGCCGCGCTTACCTCAGGCAGCTCCCGGAAGCAGCAGCATGACCCGCCTCTGGGTCCTATGTGGAGGCACAGCCAGGAGGCTTTGCGCACTATCCTATCTGCAGGCGACATCCCTGAAGCTCCCAGTGGCCATGGGTCCCATTGTTTTGAGCTTTATATTCTGGAGATCTGTGCTCTGGACTCATTGGTACAATTGTGATTTTTGTATGCCACTGACCATAAATGTTGGCTGGCATTTTATGCGAACCATGGCCAATGGGAGCTGCAAAGCGGGCGCTTGGAGCGGGGGCAGCGTGCGGAGCCCCCTGGCTGCCGCTATGCCTGAGAGCCGGAAGGGGGACATGCCACTGCTTCCGGGAGCCACGCGGAGCCAAGGCAGGCAGGGATCCTGCCTTAGCCCCACTGCACTTCTGACTGGACTTTTAACTGCCCATTCAGCGTTGTTGATCGGAGCCGCCTGGGTCCCTTTTCGACCTGATAGTGTAACACTTGCACTTTACAGCTTTCTAAGGCTTTTTCTTTCACCAAATTCTCTGTGAGGATAGAGTCATAGAAATTGAGGGCTGGAAAGGCCTTCAAGAGGTCACCAAGTCCAGCCCACTGCACTGAGGCAGGATCAAGTAAACCTACTTGATCCTGCCTCAGTGCAGTGGGCTGGACTTGGTGACCTCTTGAAGGCCTTTCCAGCCCTCAATTTCTATGACTATTCTATTCTATTCTATTTGTCTGACCAGTCCTTTAAAAACCTCCAATGATGGGGATTCAACCACCACCCTTGGAAGCCTATTCCAGAGCTTAACTCCCCTTACAGTTAGAAAGTTTTTTCCTAATATCTAACCTAAATCTCCCTTGCTGCAGATAAGTCCCATTATGTCTCATCCTACCTTCAATGGACACTGAAGACAATTGATCACTGTCCTCTTTCTAACAGCCCTTAACATATTTAAAGATTGGGCATGTGTAGTCTTCAGAAACTGAGCTGCGACCTGATAACAATTTTTTTAACCTTTCCTCAGAGGTCATCGTTTTGTTGCTTGTCTTTGGACTCTCTTCAATTTATTCACATCTATCCTAAAATGTGACACCCAGAACTGGACACAGTCCTCCAGCTGAGGCCTCACCAGTGCCAAGTAGAATGGGACAATTACTTCCCATGTCTTATCTGTGACATTCCTCTTAATACTAGAATGATATTAGCCTTTTTCGCAACTGCATCAAAATTGTTGGCTCATATTCAGTTATTCAGTTTGTGATGGCTGGACTCTTTCAACATCTGTTTTGCAGTCTCAGAAATGGATTTAAACCCTTTGAGGGATGTGGAAAGGATACTCCTTGGAAAGGGCCTCTTAGAGGAAAGGTAGATAAAAGGATAAACTAAGTTTAGTCCTTCAAAGGTTTGATTTCTTTAAGGAAACTGTTTACTTCAAGCATACAGCAAGTCCACAAATGAAAAAGGTAGCAGTTGTGATGCTTCTATGGTCCACTAGATGGCACTGGTACTAGATATATTGGCCAAAGACAAGTCATTTCTAGGAAACAAGAATTGGAAGAGCCCCGGGCACCAGAAAAAGATTAAAGATTGAAGCCCAGTAGGAAAGACGTCCTGTACTTGTCTGGCAGAACTGCTGCCAGCGAGAAGAAATCTGAAGCTATAATTGTTTTATCACAAATGTCAAACATAAATGATGCCCATGTATGATACAGCCTCATAACTGGGGTAGGTCTAGAGTCTCTCCCTGGGACATGCTTCGATCAGCCACATCCCACATTCACTTAAACAGCAAGTGGGAAAGACCTTTTGAAAAGCAAGCACTGCCCCAGCTATTTACAATTTATGGCTCTGTCTTCTTTGCAAAAAAGGTATGTTTTTAGATTGAAATAGCTAACTCAATATATCTATCTTGATGTTAAATCGAAGTGGAGACAAGTGACTGTTGTTTTTATCTCTCTATCACAAATCACGGTCAATCCCAGGTGGAGGTATAGGGTTGATATATAGGTATTGGTAAAAAAAATCACCTGTGCCCTGTCTGCACTGGAACCTTACATTGAGATAACCATCTCAAGTTAGCTATCTCACTGTAAAAACACATCTCTTTTTGCAGTGAAGTTATAGGGTAGAATTTTCAAAGGCACCTAAGTCACTTAGAAGCCTAAGCCCCAAAGTGACTTAGGCACTTGGGGGATTTACAAAGGTATTTAGGTGCCTAAAGATGCAGATAGGCGCCTGGTGAGATTTACAAAAGCACCTAAGCAAGCTAGGTGCCTAATTCCCATTGACTTCAAGTGTGCCATTGGCATCAAAGTGCCTAAATTAAGTCACTTTAATTAGGCTCCTTAGTCACATACCCTGTTAGATTTATAGACCTTAAGGCCAGATAGGACAATACATGATCATCTATTCTGACCTCCTGCACATTACAGGCCTTAGAACTTCACCCACTCACTCCTATAATAGGCCCATAACCTCTGGCTGAGATACCGAAGTCCCCAAATCTTGATTTAAAGACTTCATATTACAGAGAATTTTACTCTAGTTCAAACCAGCAAGTGACCTATGCCCCACACTGCAGAGGAAGGTGAAAAAGCCCCAGGGTCTCTGCCAATCTGACATTTTGAAAATTTTACCCATGGTCTAGAAGAGCAACGCTGTGACATCCCTGGAGTTCAAATTGTGTTTCCTCCATTTTTATTATAAACCACACTGCCATTTTTATAATAAAGCCAGTCAAGTCCCAGCTATTTTAATATCTAGTATAAATATGTTGTTCCTGTCTGAAATGCCACTTCATACTGGACGTACCCAAATCTTGGGGAGAAAATATTTAATTGTTTGAGTTCTAATTTCCTAAACTATGCAGTGTACATTATTGTTTATATCCAAGGGAGAAATGGGGCTAGAGCAAGGCCCTGGAAATAGGAACATTTGGGCTGGATGCTCATCTCTGCCACTGACTCACACTGTAACCTTAGACAAGTCACTTGGCCTCTCTGTACCTCAGTTTACCCATGTGTAACGTGCACCATAATCATTCATACTTCAAGAGGTTAAGCTGGGTTGCTGCAGGGCTCCCTGCAGACACCATAAAATCAGTTGTTGCAAGACAACTGGGAGACTCTCCACTCTGGCATGGGGATGTGTAAGGACACAACCTCTGAAATGATCCATAAGAATCATTTCCAATTTACTTATTTTTTCCCTCCATTTTTTTTTCTTTTTCTTTTGGCTCGGACTGAGTGAGCTTCCAGGGAGGGCACTGCAAAAAGGCTTGGGTTCATATAAAGGTGCAAGGAAACCTTTCTGAGGCTGTTGAGGAGAATGAGGCCTGTGGGTGATGAAGGAGGCTAAAGGAGGTGTCAGGTCCCTTCAAGCTGGCTCTTTTCTGTGTTAATCCTTTCCTTCTCCCACTCCTTGGTGTCTGTTTTTAGATGGTGTAAGCTTTACAGGGTGGGGATCTGCCTTATTTTAGAAGCATGAAGCCTCTAGCACACTTTTGGGTTCAACAGAAATAATATGTTCCTGCAATGAGGCAGCAAAGCCTTTTGAGAAAAATGTATTATAGCTAAGATGTTAAAAGCAATTTAATAGAGACAGAGGGGCTAAAGAACCTGCCAATTTTACCTCTGAGACGTGTAGATTATTTTCTCTTTTAAGCGTTATGGCCTGCAATTCAGACCCAGGATCTCTCTTTGGGTCCCATTGTTTTGA